TTTTTTGCTTATATTTTAACTTAACATCAACATGATTCCAATATCTTAATATTAACGTAGTTCCATCGGACTGGCGCGATATCAACGTGATAAATAGATCTCCACGTACTGTGACCAGACAACAGGAGGACAGGGAGGGGGTGAAATCCAATCGTAGCATGCTGTCGACAACCGGTAGAGGTCGTGTATTTGTGAGTGGTACCCACGAGAAAGTAGGCAGTCACCTGGGTGGTCTTCGGATAGTTGGCACAGATGTATCGAACACCTGATGGGCATTAATTAAAGGTTTGCAACCCTGGATCGAAGGACTTGGCGTAGCTGCGCCCAGAGTATAGAAACATTCCATTAATAGCATGGGATGGATATCGACTGCGACTGTTCATGGGGCGATCTTCCCATCACTGGCAAAGCGATTTCAGCCTCAAATATATCTGTTTACATTATTTTTGACAGTAAAAATGCATGAAGAACGAACTCACTTTGAGATCAGTGGATGAATCGAACAACTTTTTTACATACATAAACTGTGTGAGATTATCAGTACGCAGCCTGAGCACCGAATAACGCTCCTCTGCCACCGCCTCTGCCCCGGGATAATCTGAGAACACCGTATTATCGCGTACCGTCAGGACTCCATGTACAATGGCTAGCAGCAGGGCAGTTAAAGCTAGGGTGGACAATCGTTGTTGATGGTGCTGCTGCTGCTCTTCCTGATGATCCATAAATGGCGCATTCGTACATCCGTGCCAAAGCGACCGCCAGCCGTTATTATTACTACTGCTGCAGCTAACACTAACAAGGACCTAAAAAGGAATACCGCTACAGGAAGAAACTGGAGTGATGGCAGAGAGGATCGGGGACCACAGTCCGATCCTGAAGGGGATATTTTGTTGCTGTTCGAACAGACACAATGATCAAGAGCAGATCTCAAACGCTGAGGGAGGACAACCGATGAACGAGGGGGAGGAGGAAGGCAACCAACGTATGACGCAGCCAGCCGATGAAATGCCGAACGCCGCAGGGTGTCCCGGATGATCTATGACAGTGGTGACGACGGCAACGAACGAACGCGGAGCGGAAGAAGGGCGGGATGAGGACGAACAAGGACAGCTGAGGGAAAGACCTGATTTTAGAGTAGATGTTAATTAAATCGGCTTTTCAGCAAAATATTCGTTAAAAAGTCAAAATCCCTTCTTTATTCGCTACCAATGAACCAGGCGAGCCGGAGCGATAATGCGTTTTTGCACAAAACTTGAATTAGGTTAATTGCACGAACGGTTGTTTCTTCACACCTACCTT